GGAGACTGTGCCTGATATTGATGAGTCAGTGTATCTAAAAGGTATGCTTATGTTTTGTGTTGCATTGTTGTTCTTCCAAGACTCCAACTCTACGGCCGAATCCCCAACGTGCGCATTCTAGTTTGCGGTGGAGACGGAACCGTGGGCTGGATCCTCTCTGCAATTGATTCCCTCGGACTTGATCCACTGCCTCCGGTGGCTGTTCTTCCACTCGGAACGGGTAACGATCTCGCCAGAACTCTGCACTGGGGGCCGGTAAGTACAGACGTTGGGGGAAAGGGGGGTAGGCGCCAGCTTAAACGTCTTAAAGACTGTTTAGACAGTTTAAAAACTTACTTACAGTCTGTATAATAGCATTAGTAAAAGTAAACAATTGTAACTATTGAGATGATGAATATACGATTGCCGGAACAAGCAGTTTATCGGCCTGACGTTTCGCAATATTACTCGAGCCCATCCCCAGCGGGATGGTTAGTTCGAGTAAGAAGTCGAACCATCAGGTCAATGAACTTTTTGTTCCAACAATCACATCCCCCTTCTTCCTCTTCTTCTGAAGTATTGCCTGGAAGCCGCCTGCTCGGTTCTCTCATCAATATGTTTGGGCCTGACCGGTTCTGGTAGGGACGGCTTGTATAGCTACCTATGCAGGACACGGATATAGGAACGCCCCATCCGCGTAAAATATGTGGTCTTGTGGTCAATTTCAGGAAGGGTAAATATTCCCGCGGGGCAGAACTGTCTGGTGGGGTCGCCTAAAATAAATTTTGTCTGCCTAATTCTGCCTGAAAATAATTTCCGCTATTAGGAATTGTTTACTATTCTTATTTGTCAATAAGGATCAGTAACCTAAGCAACAGGAGCTTAGGTTGGTTGCTTTGATGATATTTAGCTCACTGAAACAATTATAAGTGACTTTCATTGTTCACTTACCATCCGATTTAACACGCATTTACACTCCTTAATCCAGTATTTAACCTTTAATTAATTAATTAACCTTTAATTCCGCTAGACGCTTGGCGGGGGCAGTTTATTGTTAGGCGACTTCGGCAGACACTTTTGCATCCCACGGCTTAACGACAACACTCAGCCTAACATAAAACAAAACGGTTACCTTAATCTAAACCCTGACGTTAACGTAAATCCTGCATTTATTACAAGCCCAAACCTTTACCTATGCCCATGTTCTGACCCTAACCCCAATTTTCACCTAAACCTCAACCGTTCTTATTTTTAATATTATCAAACAGTCATTTCAAATGTCAAGATGGCATCCATACCTTTTATTTCCATTCGTGACAATTATTGTCTTCTTTCAGAAGAGTGAAGTCAAGTTAAGTATACGGTGTCTAAACTCAGGCAGATTAGTTTTAGAGAGAGGGAAAAAACATGACCAGCAAAACTACCGATAGAATCGGAAGCTGCTAACTATAGTAGGTATGCGGCTGGATGACAGCTACATTTTATAAATAATGACATCCCGGTCCGTTCGCCACACCCATCCGCAAACGCCTCTGATGTGGAGTTAGAGAGAAAGGCCAAAAGAACGTCAGGCTACTGAGGTTATTGTTTTAGTGGCGCACCTTTCTCTCTTATTCAGTTGTTGACTGGTACAAGGCTTGTATCTGCCCACTGGCCTGTCTGAAGGGATAGCCCTGGTACTTTACACCAACGCGAAATTTGCTATTCGGTCGACCTTTAAATAAAATATTCTTTTCGGTCATCCTGAAAACGACAATGTAATTATGCTTCATTTCACCTAAATAGAGAATAAAAC